GAAGTGTTGTAACTTTTGAACCGCTATACCTCTATACCGCTAACTTCGGATCTAGGAAGATTATTTAGTTTTGAGTTCAAATTCAAAATTTGAACCAGATCGGACCATTGGTTCAGGAGCTACAGCCTTCCAAACACATTATATACGTAAACACACACCCGGGATACGTTTGTACCCCAATAGTAAAAATCCTCATAATAATAAAAAAAAAAAACATTTTTTATATTATTTTTTTATTTGAAAAATTAAAAATATTCATTTCACACATTATATTATTGACTTTTATTATAAAAATTATAAAAATGCATTTTATATCTAAGGAAAATCATGGCAAATAGAGCAATTTGTTGATGTGACCGAATGTTCAAGACACATTGGCTTCTTACATTTGTCGCACAGCTTTCTGGTTTTTCTACGGCGTTTTTCCTCTTGTGCGTAGCATAAATAGCAAGATCCGGACACAGGTTTTGGCGTGCGCGCTGCGGCAGATGTTGATGCTGCTGTTGACACCATTGATTCCACCGGTCGGTTGAAATATGCTTCAATAGCAATTTTAGTCGAAAAGTTTCGCGTCACTTGACGATTTATGGCTCTGGCTTCAATAATGGGCATACACAATGCTTCAGCCAAGCTGCGCAGGATCTGCTTACGCTTGTTGTTTGTTCTCCAAGGCAACATAGGGTTATTCAAATCGTAGACAATGTAGGCTGCAAGAGCTGTAATGTCCAACATGTTGAAGAACATCGCTAGTGGCCATCGTTTTGTTTGTCTTTGTGTTGGATATTCCGCAAACATTTGGTCCATTCGATCAACGCCACCTTTGGTACGATTATAATATTCAATTATTTCAGGTTTCCCACTGTCAGCTATTTCAGCATCATTATGCATGGTCGAAAGCAAAATTACTGCTTTATTTTTTTTGGGAACATAAGAGCACATTGTCACATTATTTTTGAAGCCAAATGTCGTTGAACCAATTGTCCTGTTTTTGTTCTGCTTCATTTCTTGAGGAATATATGATTTGTTTTTGCGCAAAGTTCCAACGATCGTGAGTTTCCAGGTGAGAAGCAGTTCTGCAACTGGCAAGGTCGTAAACAAATTGTCCATTGTAATGTTTCGGCAACTTCCTTGGTATTTGGCAGACAAATCCTTCACCACTCGTTCGCCTTGGTTCGTTTCCCTACCAGTTTCTGCTTGGCCAGTATATATTTGTCCATGCAGTGGATATGCATTTGTGGCAAAGTTGAAAGTGGATACATTTGTACCCGGGTGTGTGTTCTAGAGTTAAACGAAGCTCGTCAATTTTACTATATACCACGTCTACGCGTCGTTTTTAAGAAGCAAATTAGAAACTGCCAAATGTGTAAAATTCAAAAGGCCGTACCGCAGATGCCACAAATGGCTAAGTTGCCTCGAGCTCGGCTTGCTGCTCATGTTGCGCCGTTTACTTTTACGGGGTTGGATTTCTTCGGACCTATTTTGATTACAATAAATCGACACAAGGAAAAACGGTATGGAGTTTTATTCACGTGCTTAACCATAAGAGCCGTTCACATAGAAATCGCGTATTCTCTTAATACAAACTCCTGTATATTGGCTATTCGAAATTTTATTGCGAGGCGGGGCATCCCGCGAGAGTTTTTTAGCGATAACGGGACTAACTTTATTGGCGCCGAGAGAGAGCTGCGTCAAGCAGTTGCTGAAGTGAATCGAAACGAGCTTGTTCGCACTTTCACTTCCTCGCATACGAAATGGAACTTTAATCCGCCTCTTGCGCCACACATGGGAGGCGCTTGGGAACGTTTAGTGCGCTCCATAAAAAATGTTTTCTATAAAATAACACCTACTCGCTCGCCAAACGAAGAGCTTTTGAGAAGTATGATGGCTGAAATTGAAAATATTATAAATTCGCGGCCCTTAACGTACGTTCCTCTCGATAACAGCGACGCTGAAGCGATCACACCAAGTCACCTTTTGCTGGGGAGCTCAAGCGGCATGAAGCCATATGCGCTCTTGGACGATAGCGCAGTTGTGCTGAAAAGTAGTTGGCTTGAATCCCAACGGTTTGCAGACATGTTTTGGAGACCCTGGTTGATGGAATATTTGCCGACATTAACATGCAGAACAAAGTGGCATGAGAAGGTGAGGCCATTGTGTATAGGGGACTTAGTTGTTGTGGTTGACCGTTCATGCCCTCGCAATGTCTGGCCACGAGGCAAGGTACTTGAAACGAGGTTAGCAAAGGATGGGCAGGTACGTAGTGCAAAAATCCTGACTATTAGTGGTATACAAGAACGACCGGTTTCAAGGATTGCGGTTTTAGACGTGTCTCAAAATGTGGAGTACATGCAAGTTGTAACTGCTCCTGCAATCTCTTTTGGAAAAGGACTTGCACTTGCCACTTCTAACAGCCACTTTATGTAAGACGGACATATCTAGATAACTTTTTATATCCGAGCCCACATGTGCACAAGGGTATTCGAATTTTGTTCTCATTACGGTTGTTTGTAACAGCCAAAACAAATCGAGATAGATATAGACAAATGTAGACATAAATGATCAGAATTAAAAGAGAAGTCGATTGAGCCATGTCTGTCTGTCCGTCCGTCCGTCCGTGTACACGATAACTCCAGCAAAATTTGAGATATCTCAACGAAATGTGGTATGTAGGTTGCCCTTTACCTAAGGTAAGTTGGTATTGAAAAGGGATGAAATCGGACTGTAACCACGTCCACTTCCCATATAACGGTATTTTCGGAAAATACGAAAACTACGATATTTCAAAAACTGAGGACACTAATTTACCCCAAGTTAATACTTACAACAATCTCTTAACAATAAATAAGACTGTTATAGACTTTTAGGAATTTGGCGTGGCACCGCCCGCTTTATGACTACAAAGGTCTATCTCGATAACCGCTTTATCGATTTCTACCAAACTTGGTTCAATTATTTCATTAAGTCTAACTCAGCATATTATCGGAAACGTTTGAAATTGGGAAAACACCCCTGCTTATCATGCAAAAATATTTTAGAAAAAGTTGATATATAAAATTCTGTTTCGCCCGAACTTATACTTCTTTACTTGTTAAACCTATTATAATGTTTAATTATGATTAAGGCGTCGAAAATTTACTTCATTTGGTTCTTCTTCGAACAAAGGTAACTCATTTATCTTTTCATAAACAATCAACTGTAAGCCAATGTTTCATCGGAAAGGCTATAATAGCTCATATGCATAAACTTGTGATTAGCTGATTAATCATCAACATCTTGATAAATTTTGGCTATTTTTCTTTTGTTTATTTAATGTTTATTATTTTTCCATCAAATATAGCTCAATATACAACAAACACCATATAAATCCACATTTCCAACTTTGTGCAAAAATTATAAAAAATCGCAAGGTTTCCCCTGAAATAGCTAGAGAATCACGTTGATTTTTACAAGATTTTATTTTTAATAATGCCGTTTTCTGAATGCATTAAAATTTTTTTCCATACAATATATATTCGACAGTTTTGTTTATTTAATTGTTTGTACATAGGTGCATATTAGAGTTGTCCAAAACCAATAAAGTCAGAATTTTAATGCCGCCACCTCCTAGGATTGCTTTGAACCGAAAAAATATGTATATCTATGTCCAGACACCTTTGCTATAATTATAAATATACTAGCAATTACCCGGCGTGCTTCGCTGCGCCTTAAATGTATTTTTGTGTTGTAACTCTCCCCCTAAGCTCTTATGGCCTCATTTACAAAATATTTTTAAAGAACTTTATGAAGTTAGATTTAAAAAAATCGATCTATGAAGCATTGTTTATTTTTTTTTTGAGTTAATATATTTTCGAAGGTAATTAGAAAATATGTAAAGAACCGACTTTCTCTTGGAAATTTAATTTATAATCTTATAACTGGAGTCTACTATCGCACCCTTTCCTCAAACGTGATTTAAAGTAGATGGTGCCATTGTTTAACAGCTATTCATTGTACTTTGCTCAGTTAATTTCATGTGACACTAGCGAATACCCGGCGTGCTTCGCTGCGCCTTAAAAGTAATTTTGTTTTGTTACTCCCTCTCACAACATTTGAAAATATTATTTAATATTGCTGTACATATTTGTATAGTAGGGAGATTTTTTCAAATTATATAAATATACGTTATTTGAATATTGAATCAATA